ATACTATTTATTTTTGAAATAATAGGTAGTCGAAAAAAATTTTGCTAATACATTTCCATACAAAATAGTGAGGAAGTAGAGCTCGCTAACGTAGAAGTAGAAAGGGTTAGACTTTTTACAGCAAAGGAAATGATACTTTTGGATTTATTATATGATAACTTTTCTCATTTTTGCATCCCTGTTCCATTTATCAAAAAATCTTAAAATCACCGGCTTTTTAAGAAGAAATGTAGTGTATTCGTCGTAAATTATACTGAGATTGTCTCAAATATATTAACCGAAGCTGGATTTCGAATATTCTCTAACAAGTTTACCCTGACGCTCCTTTCATCCCTTTTGAAAGTAATAGTATAAGGGATTCGTGCATTGAAATATCCGAAAACCGTAGGATTGTCTCAGACTAGCAACGGCTGAATTATGCCAAGACCTTAGCTCATCTTCACGCTACCCAGGATGTGCTAGTTTTCCTCTGTCATTTGAATGGCATCGTTAGAGCCAGGAACCATCATTTACAATAAGGTTTACCAAAAAACTGAACCAAAAAAGATCAGATGTTTATCTCGATATTTTGCTGAATTTTTATTGTAAATGGTGGTAGAATCTTGGTATAATTTTAGGCAAGTGTACATTTAATTATATTGCAATGAAACTTCGATTTACTATATCCTGTACAATGCGCTCATAGACTTTATGATTTTTAATTGTTTATTCAATTTTGATATTCTAAATATTGGTCTTAGAGATTGTTTGGTTTTTGCTGTTTTGCTTCTACTGGCTAATTGTTCTATGGAGGCATATGACCTATCTTTGCACTTAGTACTTCTCTTTTATTTCGTTTTCAGACTTGGAACCGAGGAACTCTGCTGGCAGTACGTTTCTGGACTGGCTTTAGTCATCAAGAGGCTCACTCAACCATCCTCGGAGCCTTATATATCTGAAATTTCAATGGAATTAAGAATGGCTCGTCTGGAGCGTCTGGCCATTTTGCTTTCACGGATACGTGCTTTCCTCTCCCCTTCCCAACAGGTATTTCTCCACGAGGCCTGTGTGTCCTTAGATATA